TCTGATGCCCTGCTGGCACTGCTCCTGGCCATCCTTAACCTCGATTCAGGGTCCACTCAATGTGGACATTCTAGTTCGAATTAGCAAAATGCTAATTTGAACTAGTTTTTAGGTCTAGATGCACTAGTTCGAATTAGCTTAGTTCAAATTAACTAATTTGAATTAAATTAGTTCGAATTAGTGCTGTAGTGTAGACATACCAATAGAGATCTATAAAATCATGTCAGTTATGGGGAAAGTGAGTAAGAAAAAGTTATTTACTTGTTCCCATTACGTCAGAACTTAGGGTCACCAAATGAAACAAACAAAAAGAAGTTATTCTTCATGCAGCGCATAGTCAACCTATTGAATTGGTGTATGAAGAGGTGTTTGTGGCCTACCTGGGGAACAAAATAATGCTTCTCCACCCCTTCTTGGGTAGGAGGGATTGAGGTTGAGATTTTCCAAAGGGTTTTGGACAACGTGTCCGCTGTTTTATTAAGTGATGGTACCACCCTAGCCGGGGGTGGCTGCTGAAAGTATGTCCACCATGGGGTCAGCATCTTTCTGGACCTCTTCCACTTGGATACTCAGGTTCACAGCCAGCCTCCTGAGCAGGTCATGATGAGCCCTAGCATCCACTGAGAGAAGTTGCAGGACTGGGTCCCTTTAGGCCTCCTCTGGAGAGGAGGATGATGACTCCCTAGCACTCAGTTGTTTTTTCATAGATTCTGCAGCCTGTGATGCTACTGTCACTGGAAGAACTATTTGGTCACCCTCTGGCTGGAGGACCATGGCCCCTCTGTCTTCTCCTGCCACTTGGTGTTACGTCATTGGCCCCAGAGCAGCTTGCTTCTGATGGAGAGTCTCTATAAAGAGGGGTCACCAAAGGGATGCTCCCCTTCCAAGAGGACTCTGACACTGACCCTGTGGGAAGTGGACCTTGGGCTTGACGGTACGCCAGAATTGGAGTGGCCAGGTGCGCGTGTGTGAGGGGCTTCTGCATCATGCTCTATGCTTGAAGCGGGAGTGGTGCCGGTTCCTCGATCTATACGAGGACTCAGCCTCCGACTCTGATGAATAATCAGAGGCTGACCATGGGTGGGGGACTGTTGAGGCTTGCTCCTTCGGCCTGCAGCTTCCCTCTGTGCACTGGGTGTGGTGCCAGAGGAGGTACAATCTGCAATGGGGCTGCATATGCCAGTGCCTCATGCAGCAGCTAGGGTTGACATATGCATACGGCACCGGAACAGCTGGCAAGGCAAGGCCTCCTGAAGTGGTCCATGTGTTCATTGGTACTGGGGTCAGTGCCATGGTTGTGGTCAGTGCCTGAACCCTTATTGGGCCCAGTACTGGTACACTGTCCAATATGCTGGTTGTGGTTGGTACCAGGGTTGTTGATTGTTGGCAGAGTTCTTTGAGAGACCCTTCCGGTGCCTCTCTCTCCTTCTTCCAGACTCAGGTGGATTGGATTCAGGGGGAAGGACCTTGAAACAGCAGGCTACATGTGCTCCAGATGTGAGCTGTAGGATTCTTTCCACCTGTCTCTCTTTCCCCACCCCATTCTAAGGATAGACCAAAAATACAAACTCCATGAATGATTGTTGGCAGAGTTCTTTGAGAGACCCTTCCGGTGCCTCTCTCTCCTTCTTCCAGACTCAGGTGGATTGGATTCAGGGGGAAGGACCTTGAAACAGCAGGCTACATGTGCTCCAGATGTGAGCTGTAGGATTCTTTCCACCTGTCTCTCTTTCCCCACCCCATTCTAAGGATAGACCAAAAATACAAACTCCATGAAGAGTCTCTTTATTATTTTGAAATATTATTCCAGTAGGGCCTCTCTCTCCTTCTTCCAGACTCAGGTGGATTGGATTCAGGGGGAAGGACCTTGAAACAGCAGGCTACATGTGCTCCAGATGTGAGCTGTAGGATTCTTTCCACCTGTCTCTCTTTCCCCACCCCATTCTAAGGATAGACCAAAAATACAAACTCCATGAAGAGTCTCTTTATTATTTTGAAATATTATTCCAGTAGGGCTGGAATCTTTTGGCCAGATGAGGTGGTGGCCAAGAGCTGAAATCACTGAGGGTATGTCTACACTACCCCGCTAGTTCGAACTAGCGGGGTAATGTATGCATACCGCACTTGCTAATGAAGCCCGGGA